CCTAAATGATGGTGAAAAATGTAAAGAACAAATATGTAATGGTATTTTTTTCTAAAGGAGATGATTTGTGGATCTAATTTTAAGATAACAATTTGGATTTTAAACAATGAGATTGGATGTATAGCAATCACATAACATCATTAGTCTAAAGGTAGCCTGTGATATCCTCTTCCATTTCAAAAGAAAATGAAAATCTTCTAAACAATGTGAGAAAATGCAGAGTAATAAGCTTTGGAATTAGCTGGGCTCATGTTAAGTCCCAGGTCTATTATGTTTTAAGCATGTGACCCTATGAAAGTTACTTTTTTTTTTGGCAGTACTGGGGCCTGAACTCAGGGCCTTCACCTTAAGCCACCCCACCAGCCCTATTTTTGTGAAGGGTTTATCAAGACAGGGTCTCATGGAACTATTTGCCTGGGCTGGCTTCGAACCACAATCCTCCTGATCTCTGCCTCCTGAGTAGCTAGGATTAGAGGCTTGAGCCACTGGCACCCAGCCTATGAAAATTACTTCTGTGAGCTTGTTTACTCATCTACATGACTGGAACAATGATAGTATATACCTCAAAGCAATTTTGTAACAGTCCGATGTATGAGATGTATAAAATGCTTGATACATAAAAAGTTGTCAATTGGTATTATATTCAATTTCTCTTATCCTTCTCTACTTTTACTTTCCACAGCACATCTCATCTAACTTACTGTATATTTCTTATTATTTTTTTCATTGTCTGCCCCCCTCCACTATAACATAAGCTCCATGAGGAAAAGTATGCTGCCTATTTTGCTTAGTGGCATATCCTGAACACTGTCTGGCACTAGAGTAGACAAAAACTGTGTACTGAATGGCTCAAGTAGTAGAGCACCTACCTGGTAAGAGAAAGGATGAGTTCAAAGCACAGTATTACTCTCCCTCCCAAAATGTATTGAATAAATGAGTATAAGTGCTAAGATTGCTATAGACTCTGAAGAATAAAACATATACAGATTGTTTTCATGTTGAATTATGCTACACAGATTCTTCCACCTGAGGGGACAAATAACATGTTTTGTGACACAGTATCAATCATTTAAGTCTGTTGCTAGGAATTATATTAATGTACTTAATTATAAAAAGAGAGTCAAATAAAATTGTCTCTACAGTTCTACTACAAAAAACCCTCTGATTATACAACTAAAGAAATACTAAAGGCACATTTATAGAAAGCTATATGTCAATTCACGATAAAATAGAATTTCTTCCCAGAAATGTAAACTGTAAGTCAGAAAAATACGTATCTATTAAGAATGAGGTTTTTAAATATATACCTATAAAGTGTAACTGAGGCAGGGAATCAGGCACACACAGGTTCTGTCAGCACAAAGAGCACAGTAACAGCAAAATGCATTTACTCTTAGCATTTGTTAATTAGCAATTAAACTGAAGCTAAATACAATTTGATACAAAAATAAAGCATCAAAAAGTTAGTCACCAGAGCCATCTGGATTCACATATCACTGCTGTTTTGTCATGAACAGCTGAGTTTCTCAGCTACCTAGCTGCTGACCTAGTATCAAGCTATCCTTTGACAAAGCCAGTGACCTCTGACCCTTTATTATGTTATAGGGTCAGTTTGTGTTCTTATTATCTTGAACAAGAGACAGGACACTGAAGTATGACACTCAGAAGAATATGGTGACTTTCTTAAAGGGATACGTGCAGGTTTGTAAGTGAAACCCTTCTTAAAGTTTTTTTAACTTGCAATTAGGAGAATGTTGTTTTAAAATGCAACTTAGAGGATAAATTACTTTGTCCTCAATTAGAATGCCATTCTTACCATGAAGAAAGCCATAAAAGGAAAATGAAGTCACACAAATGGACTTGCTTAAAGAAACTATGGTTCATTTAAAATTTTTTCCATATGTCAGTTTTCAGTGATATTTACTCCACTAGAATAATTATGTTGTATTAACATCATAGTGTGTAGAACACATTATTTATAAATATTGACTATATCTATATAACATACAAATTATTACACTAAAAAGTATATATTGCAAAGGAAACACACAAGCGTAGAGTAATATTCTCACAACTTAGAAATTATAAATCATCTAGAAAAAATAATATTGTTTTTACTTTACAGAAAAGACTGTTGTTAAAAAGATTTTAAATAGAGTATTGAAAAAACCTGAAGCAATTCCATTTTATCAATGTATTTTTTAGTACATTTCCCATGCATACTGTATAATATATGTGGAATAGATTTTTAATATTCTTCTGCATAAAAATATTAATCCACCAAAAGGGAGTGATATATAGTTTAAAACATGTGGTTAAAGGAAAGAATTTGATGACCCTTAAGACAGAATGCAAAGTAAATCTGTATGTGTGTTGACCAAAGCACACTGGCATTACTTTGTATAGAGCTGATCAATAGATATTAGCTTTAAAAAGAAAGATACAGAAAGAAGCTGCAGCATATTTTTTTAAATGACAGGTGAAGGTTTAAATAATCTCAATCAAGACTCAATTTTTTCCTCTATTTTTCAAGCTGTTTTCTTCCAGTTAAGACACTTCATTTCAAATAAATTTAATTAGTTCCAATTGATCAGAGACAACATTTACAAAGCTTTATCTGTGCTTCTTTACTTTTGCAAGGCAAACTCTAACAAAGACTGCTAGGCTCAGGTTCAAGTATCCTACAACAACATTCACACCTCATTCATTTTCACCCAAAAGAAAAATTTCAGAAATGATCATGCTGCCTTTGGCAAAAGCACGAGATATATATCAGATTTTAATTGGTATCTTGCTCAGATACCAATTAAAGAACCAAGTCCCAGATTAGTGCAAAAAAAAATTAATATAGTTATACACATTAGCCTAAATATAGCTTCAAAATAAGAATGCTTTAAAAATACAGTCAATATCTGTCATATAATTTCTAGCTATTTGATGCAGGGTTGTTATTGGGAAAATTCCTTTTAAATAACTGAAAAATTAATCAGATTTTTCAAAGGGAATGGCTAAGCTGGGAACCTTTCCCTTGTACAGTACTGGCACTCTACAATGGTGGTTATCCCAAAATAAGATTATTGTGCTTGAAACAGGTTTCTCTCAATGCACCTACCACATTTTTCATAATGCAATTTATATAGGATTCTAGTCAATAAAAAGAAATATGGCTTTCTTCTAAACCTTCACAAAAATCTATACCACAGCTTAATCAAGTCACACAATCTAAAGGTAACGTGAACGATCTACAGACTGCAGCATGCTAGTTGCTTTGACAACATGTTAAGGAAGGTTTTTCTTGTTTATTTAAATTCTTTGGCTATTGAACATTCTTGCCTCTAGTACCATGGCATGAAATGAATAAATCAACTGGCAAAAGCCATTCATCATACATATTCAAATAAATTTCTTACAGATTAAAATATATTGTATGTAGCATTAACTCTCCAAACTAGACTTGCACTTTTAAACTTCTTGATATTTTAATGATAAAATAAGAGCAGTCAATTAACATGACACATTAATGCTGTCACATTAATTTGCTAGTGCATAATTCAAAATTTCAATGCACTGACTAGTAACGCTTACTTGACTGCTCAAAAATTGAGTTTTTATCCCAGAATGTTAACTGAGTTGTTCTACTACTGCAAAGGCAAGTTATTTTTTGCAAGTAATTAAACAAATACTTTTTATAGACTCAAGGGTCTTTAACTTTACAGGGAATTATGACATAATAAAACATATCTGTATAAAAACATAAAAAGCATAGAATAAAATCTTAGTTAAAAAATTCTGCAAACAAAATACATTTGTCTTAGAAGCTACTGAAACAAATTCAGTAATTGTGAAGCACTAAATGATTTCGAAAGGTTGGAGATTCCTGAAATTATGTATATTTTTGTTAGATGATATTTTTCCATGAATTTATATATTAAAAATAACTAAAAAGTAACCAGCAATAACCACCATCATCAAGTCACCTTTACTGAAAATCAGATGCTCCCCAACTTAGGCAATACTTTTCAGTTGCTGGGTAAGGCTATGGTTTTTTAAATATAGCCTTTGCAAATTTTTAAGGGAAACCATGAGGCTCCCTCAATTTCTTCCCAGCAAGAAAAAAGTTAAAAGCATTCAGGCAGTAACAGTAACAGACTTGCCAAACAGACCTTTAAAAGAGAAGAGTAAAGCCTTCCCTTTAATTTCTATTGAAAAATTGTTATTTTCTGCTCAAGCTTCTTTTAAATAGTGATTAGTATTATGTTAATATATGTTACTTCACCATAGTTATAGATTTAAAATTTTTAACCATCTGCACAAATAATTTTTTATCATTCCTACCTAATGCCTATAAAACTATTTAGCCTCCGTGTAATCAAAGAAATCTAGCTAAAAGAATATGAAGATTCAGTAATTAAAACTGGCTAAAGTATATAAAAAGACAGACTAATCATGTCATGCATAAGTTTCTTAACAATCACTTAATGCCTGGTTGTATGACAACTAATACAATATCCATACAAGGTAAGTGACCTTAACATGCAGTATTCATTTGTATAGTTTAGGTATAAAAAGTGTTTCTGTAAGTTTCCTTATGCAGCCTGTATTGTATGTATTTCTGTTATAACTTCATTATCCTTGAGTTTTACCTAGTAGTTACAAAACCTTTTTTAACCTCACAGCTATGTGTATTCCTCTACATGTTCCAAAGCTTTAGTAATGATCCCAGTTTCTGAATTAAAAGGTTTCCAGAAAATCAAGTGCACAGCTAGCAGGTTCATTGTTATAGCAACAGTGCATGATGCTGGATGAATAAACAGTTCTACTTCTTTTCACCTCAAGATCAAAAAGGACACTGAACAGTCTTATAAAAACTGAATATGCCATCAATGTAAGCTTCCATCCTTTCCATGGAAATACTTAGCCCCAATATAAATGACTTAGAAAACACTTTGCAATACTGAACAAAGCTCTATCTAGATTGTGTTGAAGATGTCCATGCTCACCAGTGGTGATGTCATCATCCACAAGGTCATGTTCTTCTTCCTGGACTTTGGCTTCTGGCCCGGAGGCATCAGGAGCAGTAGTCATAGTCTGCATGGCTTCTGTTGTTACTCCAGCTAAAAGAATAGAAACCACAAGCTGCATTTTTTAAAAGGAAAAGAGAAGTGGAGCAAACTTTCAAAGATTTTCACTTACTGAATACAAGTGTAGTTTTAAAATATATTTAGGAAGAGATACAAATCAATGAACACAAAATTCATGTGTTCTCTATTTATTTATATGTTCATATGCATATGAATATATACTTTATTTAGTTTTAACCAAGAACTGGGAAAGCCAGAAACAAGATGAAGTAAATTACATCTTTACTTGATTCCTTTTATCAACATTTTTGTTACAGTTACTTTAGCTGATTTAGACAACAAACAGAAAAAAAACTTGAATAATTTAAAAGCTTGCTGGTTTGTTTATACCTTGGATTAGGGCAGGGAAGATGATGATTTGTGATTTGTTCCCTGAGTCTAAAGGAAACCTGAAATGCATTGCCCAAAAAGAATATAACATTTCCTTCCCTCTCTGAAGAAATTACAGATGTTAGATAACTTTCATATCAAAAGAAGCTAACTGCAAGTAGTTAGGCAAAATAGATGAGACCAAAAGCTTTCATTCTGTAAATCACCCAAGAACCTGTCAGTTCTTACAAATGTCTCTTCCCTACACACCCATCTTTCTATCTTTGATGATATGTATGATGGCTATTTTTAGTTATCAACTTGACAGAGATACCTGGATATCTGGTAAAGGCTTTCATACTTGGACTGAATCCTGGCAATTGTTTCTCCGGGTCCCTACCTTGCAAATTGCCCATCATGGGACTTCTCAGCTTCCTTGATTTGGTTAGCCAATGACCTGAATTGATCTCTTTCATTTATTCACTCATTCATTCATTCATCTATCTACCTACTTACTTACCTACCTACCCATCCATTCATCCATCCATCCTATAGTTTTGCCTCTCTGAAGAACCCTGACAACTATACACTATTCAAGGATAAAATGATTATCTACAAAAAAAAAAAAAAGAAAGAGTAAAACTACTAAAACTAATGAGTACAGAAAGGCTACAGAATATAAGATAAAAAATTGAATCAATTCTATTTCTATATACTATTAATGAACAAATGGACACATAAATTAAAAGAATTTAACTACAGTTAAAAACTGAAATGCTTTGATGTAAATCTTTAAAAACATAAACAGAACTTGTATTGTGACTATAAAGCTACAAACTACCAGGTACTAAACAGAGAAAGATCTAGCAAATAAAATGGGGCAATCTGCCATGTTCACAGACTGGAAAATTCAACATGATAAATGTCAATTCTCCATAAACTGATATACAGGTTTAATGAACCTTACTGAAATTCCAGCAAGATTTTTATGTAGTTGTAGACAAAATTACTAATATTATACAGAAAGATAAAGGAACTGGAATAAAACAATTCTGAAAAAGAATAAAGCAGAAAAGTTAGTCTACTCTAATCCAAGACATTAAATATAGTTAAGATTATTAAAACTATGTGACTTCAGCAGAGGGATAAATAGATAGGTTAATGTAACAGAACAGAGAACCCAGAAATAAACACATACAATATATCCAATAAATTTTAGATAGAGATGCAAAAGCAATTCAAAGCAGGAAAGATAGTATCTTTAATGAAAAGGGCTGGAGCAATTGGGTATCAACAGATTTTAAAAAATGAACCTAAGGCATACATCAAATTAGTTTTCAGTTATTAACACAAAACATGGAGGATGTGTATTTTATAAAGACAAGAGGATTACTTAGTTCACAGTTCTGGAGGCTCAAAGGGATCATACTGGCATTGGTTTGCCTCTGGTAAGGATCTCATGGTGGATAATGGATGGCAACACAATGGCAAAAGCATGTGGGAAGAGAATCATTTCCAAAGGAATATCCCCAATGATCTAACAACCTCTCATTAGGCCCCACCTCTTAAAGTTCCCAGCACCTCTCAACACTACCACACTGGGGACCAAACTTCCAAACTATGAATTTTTGGGAAGAAAACCACATCCTAACCATAGCATTCATCTTACATAAAAATTAACTCAAAATGAATTGTGGGCCTAAATGTAAAACTATAAAAGCTGAAGAAAAAAAGAGGAGAAAATCTTTGATATCTAAGGTTATGACATCAAAAGTACAATCCACAAAACCAAAGACTAACAAAAGGAACTTAATCAAAATTAAAAATCTTTTGCTCTGCAAGGACCCTAGTAGGAGGACAAAAACACAAGCTACAGACTGAGAATAAAAGATTAAAAAAAAAAAAAACCCCACATATTAAAAAAACAGTCTAGTATCTAGACTATATAAAAAACTTTCCAAACTCAACAGTAAGTAGCCTGGCAGTTCCTCCAAACGTTAAGCACAAGAGTTATCATTGACACAGCCATTCTACTCCTAAAGAATGAAAACTTAAGTCCACACAAATACCTGTTTACAAATATTCACCCAGCATTATTTACAAAAGTCAAAAAGTGAGAGACAACCCAAATGTTCATCAACTGATAAGTTAGATTCATATAATGAAAATATTGTACAGCAATACCAGAAAATGAAGATGACACACGCTGCAACATGAGCACTGAAAGCTTGCTAAGTAAAAGAAGCCAGTCACAAAACATCTCATGATGTCTGCTTCCATTTATATGAAATGCCCAGAACACTTGACTCTATGGAGAGAGGAAGCAGATTAGCAGATTAGCCTATAGCTAAGATGAGTGTGAGAAAAGGGAGACAATGAGAATGTATACTGGGCTTCATTGTGAGCTGATAAACATGTTCTGAAGTTGACTGTGGTGATGGCTGCACAATTTGGGAATAAGCTAAAAAACTGAATCGCACACTTTCAAGGGTGAGTTTAAAAGGAAATGAACTATATCTCAATAAAGCTGCTTGTAAAAAAGGAGTTTGGCTTTCTAGCATTCCATATCAACCAAGCCACAGCTTCTTGATACTTATTCTGCCATACAGCTGAAGGAAAAAGGGGAGGAAAATGTCACATAAAACATTTATTCAATAAGAAAGTGAAATTCCCCAAGAGTATTTTCTTGTGTCCAGAAGTCAGAATGATTTAAAATTTTTAAACTATATTCCCAATTTTGATCTATTTATAAATCATTCTATTAATTTTCAAAAAGCTTCTGTGTTATTTTGTTACCAATCAGTAAAAAGAGATCTGGTTACTTCAAATAATATATAGGAGCTAGGGGTCTACTAAGGATTCAATAAATCAAACTTTGCAGAGTAATGAAGGTAATCTATATCCTGTTTGTGGGAGTGGGAATATGACTATTCTTGTTTATTCAAAACTGACAGGACTATATGTAAACAATAGTAAATTTTAGTATATGTAAATTATATATAAACTGAGCATTTCAAAAAGATACAATAGAAGATACTATATCACTGTCACAAAAGAGAATTGAAGATTATGCCAAAATACAATACTATGTTCAATACAGAAAATTACATTTTTCCTCATATAATAAGCCTAAGCTTTTCAAAGCATAAAATTACTTCCTCACTATCCACTATCAAAAATGAAATATACCTGGGAAATATTAAAAAAAAATCCTTAGAAAATACTCATACAGATATTTCAGTTTCTTACATATTCATAATGAAGATTATGCCCATCAATTACATGGTGACACTATTTTCTCATGTAATTAATATTAAGCAAGCTTATTTGTCAAATTTCACTATGAAATATAAGAAGATGTATTTATAGTCTAAGTATTCCCAAAATATCTGGCAATGATGAATACCTCATAAAGGTTCGATAAATCCAGCTTGACCTCTGAATTCCATGACACAAATTATATTATTTAAATATACTAGAAAATAACAGTAATGGTGCCTTGAGGACAGAGATACAAGAAAAAGGCATAATGAATAGATAAGGGTAGTAAGATATATAATAGAAAAGAAATATAATAAATTACTGAAAAGATGTGAGATTCTTAAAGAAAACAGTGACTCCCAAATTCATATTCCAAAAAATAAGAATATGCATGTACATGACACCAGATAATAGGCCTCTAAATACAGATTCTGAATCAGGATGGAAATGGAAAAATGAAAGGCTGAAGAAAACTGATGTAAGTTTGGGTGTAACAGCATAAAGGAAGAGTGGGAGCTAGCAGCAGAAGTGAGGAACAGAGAATAAGGAGACGGTTATAGGATCTTTACATCGTCCAGATTTCTAAAAACTTAGGTCACTTTCTACTGTGAGAGGTCTATATACATTACACTATCTCATTTGTATGTAATATTTTTAATCACTTTATAAAATAGTTGTTTAAAATATAAATATGGTAATACAATCTCCAAAATCAATAGCATAAAACTACACTCAACTATAAACCAGAAAACTCAGATACATTATTCTAAAACTGATACCTTTCGTAAGCTTGCATATTACCTTTATAGACATTTTTTTCTAACTGGCTCACAATATCTGCACAATGATAAATAATATGAACTCAGGAGACGTTTACAGTGCCATGTGATTAATTTAATAATCAAGGATAGAATATTAATTTTAACTTAGTAAGATTTAAAATGCAGCACTTTAACCAATATTAAAATATACTTATTTTACCTAAGATTAGATGGAAGTGGTAATATTGTTAGGACTAAGAACAAAACATACAAAATATATTTCTCATTCTCACAGAATATAGATTTGCACTGAGATCGAAAAATGATTCCAAAGAATAGCAGGTATTGTTAGTGCATCAGTTTCTCACAACCATGGTTTTCCAGGGCCCAATTAAAGTTCACTGGAGGCAATACTGCGATATGAACACTTACTTTGCATGAAGTAAAATTTACAATAAGGAAGGGGATATGTGAGTACCTACAGCTTCTTTCAGGCAGAAGGCTGGAATTTATTGGAAGCAGATCTGTGCAGTGACTGACCAACACCGCCCCACATTCCCCACAATCCGCATGACAGACAGACTGCCTGCTTCACATTAATTCACTTCACACCACTTGTATCGATCTGCAGTCGGTTCCCTA